AAGATTTAATTGAACGTGCCACCGGATTCAGTGACAGCAATCTCTGGCTGGATTGGGTGGCTCAAAATGCTAGGGAACAGCATGTAGATGATTGTGTTGCCTGTGCTACAGCTAGACCTTGTCTGTTCACCGAACCCGCGCCACTGTATCCAGAGGACGAGTGGGGTTTCAACTGCATGATGAGGCTAACTAGAGAAGCAGTGAGCACCGGCAATTGCACCATACTTTCGAGCTTATTTCCACCAATAGATAAGCGTACACAAGTAGGACCATTTATATCCAAACCAAATAATTACACGTGCTTTAAGTTTTCAAAAAACACAGTTAAGTTTACTCTGGGAGAGATAGATTCAAGTTGGTGTAATATCACACTCAAAGGAAGGACCACAAACAATGTAAGTGACCCAAATACTATCATTGGCACATGGGCTCGAAGCGGGTTGTATTATTATTGTGGACACCGTACTTTATTGGTCAGTAAGTAAAGTCTACGTGTCCTGTTTTAGGAGATTTCTTAGAATATTAATGCTTACAAGATAAAAAATGTTTTAAAAGTGTTTGATGCCAACAGAAAAAAATTAAGGACTAAAGTTGCAGCTAAAAAAACAACATTATTGTGTGGATGCTGTAGGCATCTACACTGTTGAGTTCCTGTTTCTCTTTATTCTTTATCCTTACTTTCTTTATTCTTGTCACTTCCGTATGTTCTTTGGCCTTTAACTACTTCCACAATTTTTGTCTGATTTTTACCGTTCAAATTTTAAACTATTCTGCTATTTCTGCTAATGCCGGCTATGACTTTTGGTATTTTGTACTATTATACTTTTTAACATATTAAGCTTTTTATGCATTTTTTGTCCCATTGAAATGAATGGGAAACTTCCAAAGTTCTACAAAAACTTGCTTGTTTTTGAAACTTAACTACTTCCTCATACTGCCACGTAGAGCAACAATTCAAACTTTAAAATGTTCTCAAATTATTGGGCTATTCATGTATGATTCAGCTTTTTCATATCTGTTACCGTTTTAATCTTATCCCTATTTAAGTTTTCAGCTTCATCTTTATGATTTTTCAGAAAATACATGTGTTGTTATGGTTGCTACGCTCTTGGCTTAGAGTGGATACTGGCCCTTTGTGAATCTCCTCTTCATGTCTGAACAACTTCTTGCTACTCGATCAATTTTCACTCAAGCCCCACATCAAAACACAGGTATTTTTGCTGGCTTTCAGAAAATGTCACCATCATTGTTGTGTCTGTGTGTGTGTGAGAAAGAGAGAGAGAGAGAGAGAGAGAGAGAGAGAGGGAGAGACCCTTTTTTGGCAGCATCTCATTCTAGCATAAAAATTGAATACGTTCAGACTGGTTGACTGGCATAGATCCTGTGTGTGTCTCTCTGTGGCTTTGTGTTTCCATGTGTGTCCATGTTTGTAATTGTGTGTATCCGCTGGCTGTTATTTCCTGTTTTTTTTTTTTTTGTATTTCTGCCAATTATTCACAGGTGAACAAGTAGTTTTGAGGGAACCTTACCATGTTCAGCTTTTTTCAGCTGGTCATTTTGCTTTTCCAATATTTCTATTTAAGTTATTACTATTCTGCTAAATCACAGAATCATATTATTTCAGCTATATCATAGTATTTCTACTAAATTATGGTATCTCTGCTATGTTATAATATTAATATATAATATGCTGAATCACAGCATTTGTGCCAAATCATAGTTTTTCTGCTAAATTACAGTATTTGTGGTACATCACAGTATTTGTGGTACATCACAGTATCTCTGCTAAATCACAGTATTTCTGCTATGTTGTAGTATTTTTCATAAATCACAGTATTTCTGTAATGTTTAAGTGTTTTTGGCTAAATATAGCATTTCTGTTTTCTTATAGTATCTCTCCTAAATTGTTGTATTTCTGAGAAGTTATGTTTCTGCTGAGTTCTTCTATGTTATTGTATTTTTCTGCTAAGTATTATGTTTCCTCTAAGTTATTGCAGTTCTGCTAAGTAATTACATTTTTCCAAAGTTCTTATAGTTCGGCAAAGTTTTTAGAATATTTGCAACTTTTCAGCTTTTTCGGCTAGTTTCAGCAGACAGCTTCAGCTTTACATCATCCACACAGCATTTCTACAGGAAATGCAAATTTTTCTAGTCTATTATTGATGCTCATTGAGAACACAAAGACATTAGCCAGTATTAAAAACCTTCAGACCCTCCTACTGTTCAGGCACAGAAGTGATCTTCCAGACCTGCGAGAAAAAAACATAATCCCAAGCAAATCTTTTCATTTCACAGGTGCAATTAAATTCCTAACGTGTAAATTCAACAACCCGCACGCATAACAGCCATGCGCACACACAGAAGCCATCAGGCATACTCAGTGTTGGGACTAACGCGTTATTAAGTAACGCGTTACAGTAACTACGTTATTATTGTGGTAACGAGCACGGTAACTAGTTATTATGCCAAAACCAGGAACGCGTTACTCGTTACTGGGATTTAGATAGGCTCGTTACTCGTTACTTCGTGTGGTGGCTGTCGCGGAGCTTCCACAGATTCAGTAACATTAGCAAGTGGTGGAGGCCAGCAGGTGGATGAAGGAAAAGGGAGGCAGGAGGAGAGACCCGAAGCGGGCGCTGGTCCGAGTGTCAGGTGAACTGAACTTCAGGTAAGAAGTTATGACCTGCAGTCTCTCTGGGTCAGATATAAACTAAGTTTAGGTGGAGTTTATTTTTGTTGTGCTGACTTTTTCGTACTGCGTGCTAGCTAGCATGACGGAGTTTCTATACAGCTGGGTGGTGCTATGTTACTGATAGTGAACTTTATTTTGTTCATACAGTTAATTATTAGAGTTGCCAACCGTCCTGTAAAAAACAAAATCGTCTCGTATTCAGAGAAAATATTATGCGTTTTGTGTTGACGTGAAAAGGAACAGTTTGTCCCGGACTTCAGCTACAATGAAAAAGACACAAAGCTGGAGTTATTCTGTCTTTGCTGCACAGCTGCCTCTTCTTCTCTCATTCTCCCCCCTCCCTCTCCTGTTGCTACTTTAATCATGAAACTGATCAATGATCAGCTGATCGGCTTTTCTCTCTTGTTTATTTATCGTCCGCTTTGCGCCAGAAAGAGGAAACCAGCAGATGTCACGTTAAACAACAGCAGCACGTTTGATCAGCTGTTGTTAGAATTTATTTAATATTACTTTCTAGTATCAGCTGATGTCTGCTGGAGCCACAGCTGTAAAGCTGGATATGTGGTGGTTTTGTCCCAGTCCAGCCCTGTATGCAGCTCATCTGCAGTCTGGTGTTACCTACATCTTCCTATTCAGAAGGCAGAATTTCTGAGTTCTGAGTACAATCGAAAGCACCACGACTGCAGTTTTGTGTTGGATGTAAAAAGCGCACATGACGCTGTGACGTAGGCTAGAATCATGGCAGCAGTCAATGACGGTCCAGGCGTGGGATTTCTCTCGTGGAAATATGCACATTATTTTTTCCTTTGGTAGGTGGCACAGTGCATTGTGGCAAGTAAGCAAGCTAGAAGGCTGGCAAAGTTATGGAAGCAACACATTAACAAGAGAATTCTGAGTAAAACCAAAGTTACTTTCCCTAGTAACTAGTTACTTTGAAAGTAACGAGTAACTTGAAGTAACTGAGTTACTTTTGATGGAAGTAACTAGTAATGTAATTAAGTTACTAATTTAAAGTAACTTACCCAACACTGGGCATACTAGATCTGCTTTGCACCTTGCTGCAGTTTCAGGCTCCAGCAGGTAACTCACTGTGCTTGGAGGTGAACCCTGCTGGCTCGAACCAGCTGTTGGTGTGTCACCCAGTAGCAAAATCTGCTGGATTTAAACGTTCACTACAGCCAAATGCAGAATTTACAAAAAACTTTTTTCCAACAAAGTACAAGTGAAAAAAAGTGAAATAAAAGTTAATGTTGGCAGTAAGGTGGCGTGGTGATTATCATGAAGGTCCTAGTCAATAAGGAGGAGCAAATATGAGTGTGAATCGTTGTCCGGATCACTGTGTCAGCCTTGTTTTGTCTTTCTGTGCTGGTGGCCTGTCCAAGTATACCCTGTGTCCTTCCCTATGGTAGCTGGCGTAGGCAAAGATGAAAAAAAGCACAATCATCCTCAGTAGTTACTGACTACTTGTATTGTCAATACTTTTATTGTTAATACCAATAAATCATACCATGTTGCCTGTTAAAATGCTATAAATTTCTAACCATATAAAATGGCATTTTTTGAGTCACTTTGTACCTATATCTCTTCTGAGTGTTCCCACAGAGACCACTGTTGCCCTTAATTTCCACACCTTCTCTAGCTCTACTCTCAATCTCTGGTGTTTTGTGAGGTTCTCATCATGCTTGCTGATGTTCCTTCATCCCATTTCAGCACAGTGAACATCTTGTCCTGATATCTTCTTTGGTCTTTCACTTGAGGTTGAAGAATAGTTGTAGAATTAAAAAAAGCTTGTGAAAGCTAGAATCAAATTAATCCTTAAGTTGTTGCCAATGAAAGTTTTGTCAGGTAATATAGTTGACAAAAATCTGCTGTTTGTGGTCTCTCTGTGCTCATCTTCTTCTCTTCTTCCCCTGGTCTGCCTCTAACTAAGCCTGGTGCTGCCAGAGGTCTCTTCCTGTTAAAAAGTTCCAACTGTTGCCAAGTGCTCACTTATAATAATAATAATAATGGATTGGATTTATATAGCGCTTTTCGAGGCCCTCAAAGCGCTTTACAATGCCACTATTCATTCACTCTCACATTCACACACTGGTGGAGGCTACAGGTGTAGCCACAGCTGCCCTGGGGCAGACTGACAGAAGCCAGGCTGCCATATTGCACCATCGGCCCCTCTGGCCAACACCAGTAGGTGGTAGGTGAAGTGTCTTGCCCAAGGACACAACAACCAGGACAGAGAGCCCGGGGATCGAACCTTCCAGTTACAGATGCGCTTCCCAAAACAGTCTGCATTTAAAAATCAGTCAATCAATAAAAATGTCCCGTCTGTTTTATTTAAATAATGATTTCAGTATTCAGACTTGTCAGGTAGCAACAATACATAAACATGTGAAATTATTATTTTAAAAATTTCTCTGACGTTATTGGGGAGCAAATGTGTTATTGAAGAAAAAAACCCCAAATAACCATAACCAATGAAAGTATGGTATATTAGTTTGTCCACATGGTGGCAACATATGGTTAAATTTAGTTGACATCATCATCATCTTCATCAAAGACGTCAGCTACAGTCCTATGGAAAAAGAAATAGAGATGTGAATGACTGAATTTCAGAATAACTTGAGCAGGCTTAAAGTCAGTGTGAACAGCACTCACTTGTAGATCGATCCAGTCACTTCATCCAGAAATCCCCCTGAATAAAAACGATGAACCATTAGTGAGCTGGAGACAACCAATGACAAAGTCAACATATATGATCAGATGGAAAACTGTTACCTATTGTAACTTTCTACTGCAGTTTGAGTTAACCAAAAACATGTTCCTCTCAGGATTACAAATGCTGGAACACATTGGATCATAATCGGAAAACCTAATTTGATCTAATCTGCTGAGGGATGGCAATTCTTCATTTTTCTTGCAGGATTACCTCTTTCCTCTTTAGCAACCACCTGTAGCAATCTCTGTGGACTGGCAGATGTTATGTCCACTAAAAAGGCCATTTTAAGGAAATGCCATTTCACATGAGCATCTTTGAGCAGCTCAAAGGGACAATGCTGAAGTGCACCAAGGATCACATCCATGTCCCATGGAGGAACTGGAGGTCCAGTCCTGCGAAATGTAAGTTGCTGGGCACTCCTAAGAAACCCGGAAATTAGGGAGAGGTCAGTCCCACTGAGTGCTGAGCAACCAGTGTGAACCACCTTGGTTGCTGTTACCATACCTCGCTGGGTAATTGCAGATCAGTTGGGAAAGCAGGAACTACAGGATGGTCTTAAATGTAGCCTCGTAGTGGTTCAACTATTGGACCGCACATCAGGAAGCAAAAAGTCACCAGCGGTAGGGATAGGCAGACCTTGTGGATGGTGCACAGATTCCTGCAAATTTCATATCACAGGTTCAGGCAACCCTAAGGAAAGATGCCTTTCCAGGTTCTCACCCTGAGCCCTGCCAGGAAGGGCTGGAAAAGCATACTGCTTATTTGAGACAGGAGGTCCCTTTGGAAGGGAAGCTCTCATGGGTCCCATTCAGTAGCAGAGGGATTGCTGAAAACCAAGGCATGTGGGACCAAGAGGGGCCACCAGGATCAGCCTCATCTCCTCGGTCTGGACTCAGTGGAGGACCAACTGGAGGAGGGAGAATGGAAAGGAATGCATAGAGTCTGGGGGCAAGGGTGTGCACGGGTGTCCCACCCCAGAGGCAGGTCATCATTCTGGAGAGAGAAGAAACAATGGCATTGCGTCAACTCCCTGGACGAAAAGATAGAAGTTTGCCCTTCCAAAGTGATGCCAGACCTGGTCAACCATCTGTGGATGGAGTCTCCACTCTCCTGGGCTCGGGCCCCCATCAACTTAATGTCCACGTTCAATGGCCCTGCTGCATGTACCCAAGCAAACTCAATGGAACAGGGGATGAGCACACTGCCACAACCTGTTAGCCATCCTGAAGAGGAGGGGAGAACCTAGGCCTGTTGATGTAGGCTGTTGCAACCATTGTGTCTGTCCTGATGATAACATGGTACAGCTCCAGTGAGGATAAGTTGCCTAGTGGCTGGTTCAATAGCCATTTACCGCACAGCCTTAGTGGACCCTACCCAAATTGACTTGGAAAGTGTCCGTGAAGACCAGCTGACGGTGAGTCACCAGACCTACTGCGTGACCCTGGTCTAAGTTGGTTGAGTCCCTCCACCAATGGAAAGCTCAGTGGAGACCACAACTTTTACCTAGTGAGACCGCTCCAGGCACAGGCTGGAAGGGGGCTGGCCGACCTTGCTCCAGGATAGGTCAAGGGAGAGGGGGGTCGCTGGAGGATGTCAGAGCCTTGGCTGTTCATCCTCCTTCTTTCCATGTGGGTGCGCACCACGTCTACAAAAGCCAAGAGCCGAACTACTAGCTCATCAGGTCCTTAATGTCAGGCACCTGCATCTGGGAAGGCCGCAAATGTCCAGTGTCCTCAAAACTGGAAGCAGGCGCCACAGAGTCCTCAGGAAGGGCAGAGCTCTGGATGCTCTGCTAATCACATTCAATCGCTGGGGCCAGTGAGGAGCTCCTAAAGGGTGGCTCTTCGACAAGCCTAGCAGCAGGGGAAGGGAAAGACACCTGCCAAGGGTCTGGGCACTCCCCTTTGGCCTGTGAGGCATCCATTTTTCCAACTTTAGGCATATCGAGAAGGGGTGAGCCTGCACATTTTGTGCCAGAAAAGTGAGTACAGGTCAGTCCATACAGGACTAGGGGTTTTTCCCTCACCAGCAAGGCATGTTAGTACCCAATCACATCACACCTGTTATGCCATCATCCAGAGGCATAGAAATGTCACATCCCACACAGTTATGGCACACAGGGCTTGCCATACTTGCTGGGAGAATGAGGCAGCCGTAACGATGAAACAGCGAGATAAATACTGCTTTTTCCTAAGCTAAGCTAAATAGCTCATCTTTCTTTGCTGATCTTCATGTTCCCCTGACTGTCTTTCATACAATTTTCTTTTAGTTTATATTGTGAAGGATGCTTGGTGAGAAGGGTTATGCTAAGCCACTCGGTGTGAAACTCACGATCGTGAAAAACAGACTGGGCTCACCTAGCAGACCAGAGAAACCCTCGCTCACAGGGCTAACAGCATCAGCCACAGCAAGGACCCAATGGACATGTAAACCAGCGAAACCACAGGCAATATGCCAGAAGTGATCACAGCCAACTAGAGCTACAGAGGAAATGACAGCAATCCTGGGAGGCTGCCAACAGACAGGCTCCCCACCATAAAGGTAACAGACACACACTGTACCACACACTCTTCCAATACACACACTGCACCTGACAGTAAAGTGAAGCTCAAATGATCGATCATTTCAAGTCTGAACAGCTGTTTTATAGATAAGGGGCATGGCCACGCAAATTGGAGTATCTTAAAGAAGAAGCTACACGCCCTGACAAAGGATCATTCCATGTTGAGTATGTAACAGAGTTTAGAGATAGAGACAGAGACAACTAGAAAAAACATTTCACAGCAAATATGCAATATACAATACCATACCAACGGTACACCAAAGTGCTTCACAATAAAACAGCAGGTTAAAACATGAATAATATAAGACCATTAACAAAGCACTGAATATGCCAACAGGTCAATGGCACTAATTACGCAAGAATAAAAGTGAATATCAAACCAAACTTGCTAGAAACACATGGGTATTAAGTAGAAGATGTATACAAAGTTAAATTGTTAGTTAAGACCAGAGGTGACCATGCGTTTGCCCTGGTTGCGCCTCAGCTGTGGAATAACCTTCCCATTGCTATTCACGCGTCTGAATCCATCCAATCATTCAAATCACTATTAAAAACTCTCTTATTTAACCTTGCTTTTCTGGTTAGTTAATGCCTGTATTTTATACTTAAGCCGAGATCTAGACTGTACCAAAAGTCATTGGGCTGATGACCTGAGGGCTGTCCGAGGGGTATATGGTCTAAGGAGTTTCGTCGAGATAGCTAGGCGCTGTATTGTTTATAATTTTAAAGGTAAGCAGCAATATTTTAAATTCAATATAGTATTTGATTGCAAATCAGCAAGGACAGGGGTGACAGAGGCAAACCTTCTGGTTTCAGTCAAAAGGCGTGCCGGAGCATTTTGGACAAGCTGCAATCTATAATATGAATGCTGAAAATTTGGAAATTTTACCTGAAATGCTTGAAACTATTAGAAATACTTAAAGTTGAATTTGCTGAATGGCTTAACTGCATAAGATTACCAAAATATAGAGTACCAAAAACTGAAAAATGTGATAAATAAAGCCAAAAAATTACTTAGACTGAGCTTCATTTGCTAAAATTTCCTTTTCCAAAATAAAAAAAGCAAAAGTTGGTACTGAAGATCATCAAAATGAAGAAGTACTGAAAGTAATGCAGTACAACAAAAAATGACCTCAAGCAAGCTCAGCATGAGTCCACAAATTCTAAGCAGACAGTTTTTGATTGGTGGCAGGATGTAAACACCCCTCTGACACACACACACACACACACACACACACACACACACACACACACACACATCTGTAGACCCTGTGGCAGGTTGATTTACACACAAGTTAATAACAACATACAGAGACACTATTTACAGATATAGAGACAAGGACAAAAACCAGTGATCACATCATATTAGAACAGAGACAACAAGAGTGGACAACAGGGGACAGTACAGAAAACAATAATGAAAACATCAATTATTTAATGTTTAATAAATCAAGATTTGGATCTTAACGTTCACATTAATAAATGCACGGGGGGGGGGGGGGGGGGGGGGATTAGGGAAGTGGAGACAGCTGGGAACACAGCAAGGACAAATCAGGATTAATAAGACCGCAAACTGAACATAACACAGACAAGACACGGGTTTATCAAAATGAAACCAGAAGTAATGTGAGACATACAAAGCTGACATGGACAGAAGAAAAAATATGGAGACATGACAGACTTCAAGGAAACAAAGAAGACATAAAGAAACACAGGGACCAGACTGAAGGAACTGAAAAGACTAAAATATGACTTGAGCATATCAAAAGGAAAATTTAATGATTCCCCAAAACTGTGGCTCAAAGATAGGACATGACTATATATAAAGTGCCAAACTCTAAGCTTCCTGTAATTTAGGAGTGATGACCAGATAAACTGAAACAAAGAAACTTTCCTTTTGAAATGTCGTTCCATATATATTCATATATTCACAGTGGTGACAGAGAATTTACTCACCAGGCTTACAAACGGTTTGGCAAACAGGACAAACATTGCAGAAACTGCACATCTATGAACAAAAAGAAACAAATTAATGAATTCAAAATTTGTCCTGGCATGAAATGGTACGGGGGTGGGGGGTTCTAAACAGTAGCAGAGTGGTGAGTGACATTATAAAGTGACAGTATAAAGTCAGGAAGATGGGACGACTATGGAAAAGCAGAACTGCTTCAATGCACTTTTGCACTATATATATATATATATATATATATATATATATATATATATATATATATATATATATATATATGTGTGTGTGTGTGTGTGTGTGTGTGTGTGTTTTATACTGAAAGGTAATTGATTGGAAAAGAGTTTATTCTGCTTAGATTTTTTTGTAGTCATGTTATTTATATGTAGTATTTTTTTCCTTTTCATTCTTTCACTTTATATTTCTGCCTGTCTGATGATCTCATTTTTAAACATTAAATCAGATGTTATGATCAGTTACTCAGTACCCAAGTACCCTTTTTACTCAATACCTTTTAACTCTTGCTTGAATAATTTCTTGGACGGCTAGTTTTTACTGTTACTTGAGTAAAACTATGTTGAGGTAGTGCTACTGTTACTTGAGTACAATTTTTGGCTACTCTCTGGTAGTAACCCATCCCTCTAATGGTAAAGGTAGACCCAAACCATGGCAGCAAAATGCCTTAAATCAAAACACACCTATCCGGTTGTTCAGTCTGACGTCACTAGCCGTGTCTGGGTCTAAACTCCGCTGCAGGTCCATATATCAAACGATCACTATGGCATTACTGAGAGTTGAAAAACTGTCTAAAGTCTTTCATCTTTAATAAAATGATCAGCGTTCTGCTCTACCAGGTGTAACAATTGAGTTTAACATCCAGGCATCCATGAAAACGGAATTTATGACATTTAACGGAGTTAGAAGTTAGCAGGGAGTTAGCTCGCTAGCTTCTATCTAAATACAATATAGCATGTCCTGACTGCGGGGTTTTGGAAACAAATTAAAACGTACAGCTCTGTTATCACTTCCAACATAAATGAAGACAGAAAACTAAACAGCAGTGACGTTTGTAGGGTTACTGAAGTTGGGCTAGCTGGTATATAATGATGTGCTACGTGACCGCTAGCGACACAGCTATGTTAGCATAATATAAACAAGCTAACTTTTTTTCCACTCGATAAAAGTTAATGTGAGTGTTCTCGGTGGTCAGGAACAAATGTAATCGCATGGCAGGATGCTGTAAAAGGACCAAACTTCAGCCAGGAGAACAACTGAGATAATCCATCCACAATACGAGGTTAGTCATTCATATACTGCTGCATGGGCTGGGCTGTAGTTACATCGTAAGGTTTTAAAAACTGAGCTTAAATAAATGATTAGTGGTAATAAAAGCCGAGGGAGGTCAACAGTGATCGCTGACTGTTTTAGGAGCTTTTTGAGATCAAATAGAAGAAAATAAATAACATTAAACATGTTAACAACACAAAAGCCATATTAAACGCAGACTACTTTAGACCCGGAAGTAGGATTCGTCGCGTCATCACTGAACAACCGGATTGCTTTTTGTTGGACTCCTTTGGTGCGTTTCCTGTTTGCTAGCTTCCCCTGTATCAGTGTCAGCCCCACTTGTTGCTTGCTCCAAACGTCACCTCAAACTATACAGTCTTGGCTCCCCCCTTGCCTCAAAAATACAACAGACCAATATCACCATCCATTATATTACTAGAAAATGAACCACTGTTGTCAAAAACTCCCTACTTTTCTGTGCTCTGCAGTTCTTAGTTCCTGGATTTATTGTCATCGTGTTACATTACCATAGTTGTTATTTATTGTGCATCAAAGGCAGAATTGCTTTAAATTGAGAAGGAGGTCAGATGTTGTGTACTTTCTCACCTTGCAGTCGTCACAGTGCTCGGAGGTGTCTCCCTCCTCACAAGGACATTTATCACAGCTGTCACAGTGCTGGAAGAAAGCCCATTTTATTTTAAAAAGACTAGAAAGCAAATCATGAAATAGCAAGCAGTGCTCTCACGTCAGTAAGGAAGGAACAATCCACCAGTTTTAATGTTTAGATATTTGGGTCCATAACTGTACATCGTGATGTTTGTTTTAGTAAGGATTTGACTTTGATCCTGTAATGACAGAACATCATTTCTCAAAGTCAATCTCATACATACCTCACAGAATTCACAATATGCGCACACAGAGCCCTTGTGATAAGTACCGTCTTCATCGTCGTCGTCATCTGCACAGATTATTTATAAAAGATATATGACTAAATGAGAATAATTACAATAAAATGAACTAGTTGTTTCCCTGGTGTTTTTGTTTTATACAACAAAAGGAAAGAACGAAGTTCTAATTCCTAATATTGTGATCTGGACTACAATGCAGATTTTTGTTATAAGTTTGCTTCTTCACAGATGATAACAAAACCAAAGTGCAAAAAATGCAAAATTGTCTTTTTACTGGTAAAAATGACTGACAACAAAGTAAAGAAGGCACAGAGTCAGTAGACTCAGTATACTTTGAAGACATTGACTGGTTTAGGTTACAGGAGCAAGCCTAGTTCTAGTTTTATTCTAGAATAATTTAGTACTTGTTTGCTAAGTGTATATAATGGCTACAGAGTAAAATAGAAAACTATCAAGATGTTTACAGCTCATTTCTTAAAGTTTTGGGGATTTTTGGTGCATTATGGTTGGCATTTATAGATAATTTCAGTATTGGAGCATTTATTGGAGGATATGACTAATGAAATAAGTCAATTGAAGTTCTGGCTTGATAAAAACAAGTTATCATTAAATTTGAATAAATCTAAACTTATGTTATTTGGAAATAGTCATTTAAATACAAATGCAAAGATTCAAATAAATGGTGTTGATATTGAAAGAGTCAGTGAAAATAAATTTCTGGGGGTAATAATAGATGAAAAACTTAACTGAGAGCTCACGTAAGATATATTCATTCCAAAGTATCACAAAGCATTGCAATACTAAACAAGGCAAAACAGCTATTAGACAAACATCACTTCATATTCTATACTGTTCACTGGTTTCACCATACTTAAGCTATTGTGCAGAGGTCTGGGGCAAAAACTATAAAACCACATTACATTCACTTTTTACTCTTCAAAAAAAAAAGCAATTCGAATCATCCACAGTGCAGGTTACAGGAACATACAAACTCACTATTTTTGCAGTCTGAAATATTGAAAATTGACGATCTAGTGAAAAGCAAAAAATAAAGAACTGCCAGGTGATATTCAGAGTATGCTTTTTGTTTGAAAGAAGGAAGTTATAATTTAAGGGGTTTTTATAACTTCAAAACAGGGAAGGTCTGTGTGTTTCTGTTCATGGAGTGAAACTGGAACAGTCTGAATATGGAACGAGAAAAAGTTGAATTTCCTGCGAAAATGCAGTGTGAATGCCTCGTATTGGAATCTGCTGAAAACAACTGAAAACGCAGAATTATCTGCTTAAAAGAGGTGTAGAAGCAGAAGTGCTTGCTGAAGATGGCTGTATGTGAAAGGGTAAACTGAAGAGTGTCAAGAAAGCAGAGTGGAGGCAAGCGGGGAAGATGTGTGGAAACCGTCACACATAGGATTCAAACCTTTGCCACCGGGTCTCACAACAGCTGCTCAACCCACTGAGCCAAACCAGCTTTGGTCCCAAACAAAGATATGATGAGAGAAAAATGTGCACTGTGGAGCAGAAGTTGAAATTTGCTGAAAAGAGGTGAAGAAGCAGAACTTTGTGCTGAAAGGAGGTGGAAAAGTTGGAATTCTGCTGAAAAGAGGTGAATCAGCACAATTTATGCTGAAAAGAGGCTAAGAAGCAGAACTTTGCGCTGAAAACAGGTGAATCAGAAGAATTTCTGCTGAAAAGGGGTAAAGAAGCTGAAGTTTGTGCTGAAACAGCTGAAGAAGCTTGAATTAGTGCTGAAAAGCAGTGAAAAACTGAAAATTCTGCTAAAAAGAGGTGAAAAAGCTGAAATTTGTGCTGAAAAGAGTTTAGATAGTTGAACTGTTAACTGAATTTTTTTTTGTCCTAAGCGGATTTGAACCCAGGCCTCCTGGTCTGAGAACGGCTGCTCATCTCACTGAGCTAAAACATGGCTCAGCCCGGCAAGCAAAACTGGTGATCACACTGATAATGTGGTCCCATTCAGCAAAATGGGCCAAAAAATGCAATAAACGCTTAATATCTGAAAAAGTATAAAAGCTATGAGCACCAGGCATTAGCTGAAAGAGCAGAACAGTTTAAAATTTGAATGGTGAAAATCTGAGGGAGTAGTTAACCAGCAAAGGTCAGAGCAAATAGAATAAGGTAGAAGAATAAAGTTTAAAGAGAAACAGGAACTCAATAGTGTGAATGCCTTGAGGCATTCACACTATTAAAGCGACGTCCAAACATAAAACCGTTCAAAAAGAGTTATAAAAATATGATCTTCTCGAACTATAAAGAAAAGTAAAATATTGAAATTAAGTGAATGTCTCTATTTAAAAAAAAAAAATCATGATGTGATATTATAGTATATGGTATATCAGAAATCTGTTCACTATTTTTATTACAAATTATATCAGTAAGGAAGCTGATTAAATATTATCTGATAATTTATGGCAAAGGGGTGGGATTAAATAAGTGTTTACTTCTTCCCACTCCCTTTCAACATGTAAATTAATCAGAACGGCAGCTATATTGAAATGCATTGATGTTTTTGTATAGTATTTTTTTCTCTCTTATTTTCTTTTCTAAATGTACCTGTATATTGCTTACATGTTTGAAATAAATTACCAATCAATCAACCAATCAAAGTGGCAACATAAAAGTGTTGTAAAAACAGACTTTTAGTTTCTGCTGTTTAGTATCATTTGTATTATGTTGTAATACCATCCACCCAGGCTGGAGCCTATTCCAGCTACCATAGGACGACAGGCAGGGTGCACCCTGGACAGGCTGCCAGTCCATCAGCAGGGCTAACACACACTACATGTTAAAGTGTGGACAGACCTTCTCATTTCATGGTTTTTCTTTATTTGCTTCTACTTTCTACATTGTAGATACAAACTGAAGACATCAAATATATGAAGCAAGTTTATGGAATTATGTATCAAAGAAAAGATGGATAAATAACTCTACAGTGGGGCAAAAAAGTATTTAGTCAGCCACCGATTGTGCAAGTTCCCCCACTTAAAATGATGACAGAGGTCAGTAATTTGCACCAGAGGTACACTTCAACTGTGAGAGACAGAATGTGAAAAAAAAATCCATGAATCCACATGGTAGGATTTGTAAAGAATTTATTCGTAAATCAGGGTGGAAAATAAGTATTTGGTCACCTCAAACAAGGAAAATCTCTGGCTCTCACAGACCTGTAACGTCTTCTGTAAGAAGCTTTTCTGTCCCCCACTCGTTACCTGTATGAATGGCACCTGTTTGAACTCATCATCTGTATAAAAGACACCTGTCCACAGCCTCAAACAGTCAGACTCCAAACTCCGTCATGGCCAAGACCAAAGAGCTTTCGAAGGACACCAGGAAAAGTATTGTAGACCTGCACCAGACTGGGAAGAGTGAATCTACAATAGGCAAGCAGCTTGGTGTGAAAAAATCAACTGTGGGAGCAATCATCAGAAAATGGAAGACATACAAGACCACTGATAATCTCCCTCGATCTGGGGCTCCACGCAAGATCTCATCCCGTGGGGTCAAAATGATCATGAGAACGGTGAGCAAAGATCCCAGAACCACACGGGGGGACCTGGTGAATGACCTGCAGAGAGCTGGGACCAAAGTAACAAAGGTCACCATCAGTAACACACTACAACGGCAGGGAATCAAATCCCGCAGTGCCAGACGTGTTCCGCTGCTGAAGCCAGTGCATGTCCAGGCCCGTCTGAAGTTTGCCAGAGAGCACATGGATGATACAGCAGAGGATTGGGAGAATGTCATGTGGTCAGATGAAACCAAAGTAGAACTTTTTGGTATAAACTCAACTCGTCGTGTTTGGAGGAAGAAGAATACTGAGTTGCATCCCAAGAACACCATACCTACTGTGAAGCATGGGGGTGGAAACATCATGCTATGGGGCTGTTTTTCTGCCAAGGGGACAGGACGACTGATCCGTGTTAACGACAGAATGAATGGGGCCATGTATCGTGAGATTTTGAGCCAAAACCTCCTTCCATCAGTGAGAACTTTGAAGATGAAACGAGGCTGGGTCTTCCAACATGACAATGATCCAAAACACACCGCCCGGGCAACAAAGGAGTGGCTCCGTAAGAAGCATTTGAAAGTCCTGGAGTGGCCTAGCCAGTCTCCAGACCTCAACCCCATAGAAAATCTGTGGCGGGAGTTGAAAGTCCGTGTTGCTCGGCGACAGCCCCAAAACATCACTGCTCTCGAGAAGATCTGCATGGAGGAATGGGCCAAAATACCAGCTACTGTGTGTGCAAACCTGGTAAAGACCTATAGTAAACGTTTGACCTCTGTTATTGCCAACAAAGGTTATGTTACAAAGTATTGAGTTGTATTTTTGTTATTGACCAAATACTTATTTTCCACCCTGATTTACCAATAAATTCTTTACAAATCCTACCATGTGGATTGATGGATTTTTTTTTCACATTCTGTCTCTCACAGTTGAAGTGTACCTCTGGTGCAAATTACTGACCTCTGTCATCATTTTAAGTGGGGGAACTTGCACAATCGGTGGCTGACTAAATACTTTTTTGCCCCACTGTAAATATATTTTAGATTCCTCAAAGTAGCCACTGTTTGCTTTGTTGACAGAGCTGCAAACCCTGCTCTCAGTGAGCTTCATGATGTAGTCACCTGACATGGTTTCCCCTCACAGGTGTGCCTGTCAGGGTTCATTTGTGGCATTTCTTTCCTTCTTAACAACATCAGTTGTGTTGTGCAGAAGTCAGGTTGGTACACAGCTGACAGCCATAGTTGACAACTGTTAGAATTCATATCATGTCACGAACCAATCAGCTAAGTAAAGAGAAACAACAGCCCATCATTAATTTACGAACTGAAGGTCAGACAGTCCAGAAAACTGCTAAAACTTTGAATGTGTCCCAACATATGACTGTACACCAACCCACCCAACCAATGTCATCGTCAAGTATGCTTTTGACACCAATGTGGTTGGGCCCATCAGTGTACAGAACCTGTCCTCCTGGTGCTCCGAAAACAACCTGAGGCAGAAGGTCCTTAAAATCAAAGAACTTATAATGAACTTTAGGAGCGACAAACAGCTCCATTCCCCTTCGATTATAAATGGAGGATGGGTGGAATCTGTCTCCACCTTCAGGTTTCTGGGCACCCACATCTTTGCTGATCCCACCTGTACCCACAACACCGACTGGTAAAGAAGACCCAGCAGTGGCTGCATTTCCCCCATGTCCTCTGGAAAAACAACCAGAACCAGAAGCTGCTGCTGGCCTTCTATGGCTCCTCAGTGGAGAACGTGCGCTCCTACTGCCCAGGTGTTTGGTGCGCAGGGGCCGAAACTGAGAACAGGAAGACTGCACAGAGAGTCATTAACACCGTCCAAAAAAACCATTGGCTGCCCTCTGCCACCCCTGCCCACCCATCTCACCAATCTGAGCCATGGTCTGTGGTTGGCCTCATGTTTTAGGCCAACCACAGACAGACTATTCAGACCAAGTATTTTCTTTGCGCTACCTCCAACCAAGCACTTTGCTCTCCAATGTGTGCCTTTCTATTGTTGTGTATATATTTCTCTAGACTGTATATATCGCTTCTGTTTGCTATTTATAGCAGATGTCTTTACTATTTATATATTTATTAAAACCATTAAGCGCTATGGCAAAACTGGCTCATATGAGGACCACCCCAGGAAAGGAAGACCAAGAGATGGCCTGGCCTCCACAGTCGCCTAACCTAACCCAGTGGAGATGGTTTGGGATGAGATGGAGTGCAGAGTGAAGGCAAAGGACCAACAAGTGCTCAGCATCTCTGAATTCCTTCAAGACTGTTGGAAACCATTTCACGAGACGACCTCATGAAGCTCATGGAGAGAGAGCCAAGAGTGTGCAAGGTAGTAATCAAAGCAAAGGATCTAAAATATAAAACATGTTTTGAGTTATTTCACACTTTTTTGTTTGCTACATATTTGCACATGTGTTCATTCATAGTTTGATGCTTTCAGTGAGAATCTACAATGGAAATAGTGGAAAAACCATAAAATGAGAAGGTGTATAGGGTTAAGGGATTAGGTTAATTGGTGACTCTAAACTGCCCATAGATGTGAATGTGACTTCTTAATTAATTACAGTTTTAATGCTGCAAAAGCGCAAAAAACACATGGGAAGTAAAACAGAATACAAAAGAAGCTGAATAAATCAGTGGAACAATGGAAGTAGAAATGGAAGTAGAAAAAGACAACATTAGCTGTTTACTATCACTGTATTAAAATTCTCAATTAGAAGTAAATTGAAACTGTCGAAAAATGTCATTTGAGCTAAACTACAGAAATCTTTACAAGCATTATGGTTCATCACTAATCCCAGAGTTGGGGTCAGTCTGATGTACCTGTTGTATACATGCTCAGGTGTAAAAGCTGCTGCAGTAACATTCGGCTAACTTCAATTTCTTCAGGAAGTGCACTTTGTAGTTGTAATTAAGTATATAGTCAGACATTAGAGAAGAATTACCTTATAACTGTACTTATGGATATAAATTCATGTAGTTCACTAAAAAGTAATCATGCTACAAATAACTTTTTGACACGATATTATATTATCATCAAAAAATGTTTCACGCAAAAGTTAAAAAATGTGTTGCCCCTTCATTTTAATGAACATTTTTGCAGCTCTATTACATTTGTGTTCACTGCTTCAAAACACCACCACCCAGATGCTTAGAAAAGCATTTAAAGCACAGTTCATATAGACAATAGGCCGTGGTCAGAAGAGATACTCACTTGAACACTGAGATTTCAAATGTCTGTAGCTCTGGTCCTCATACAGGTAAAACCATCAACACATTTGTACAGATCTTTGATAAAAGTAATATGGCTTTTCAATCAGTTTGACAACTCTAATATAAGTCCGCTGCCTTCATTAACAGATATAAGCGATTTTTGAAAACCCGATTTATTTAATAAATCAAAGTAAGTGTTAAGACAAAAGACAATGTTGATTGTAGTAATGTCTACATGATTGTTCACAGTCAGCACAAACCACAAATGTGGCAAATGAGAATGCAGACAACCCATTCATCTCTTGACAGTTTGATTTTTTTGACAAAGCTTTAATTCCTCTATAGAAAGAGATGTTTCTCTCTTTTCCCAAACACTCTAATCCTAAAGGTCTGAAAAGGCATCGGCAAATCTGTTACATTTCATAACAAATAAGGTTTTATACATTTGTTCAATTTTTACATTGAGTATTTGTATTTAGGTATATCAGTGCCAAATAAGCATTGGATTGATAGGAGAAAAATTAATAAAGGAAATAAAATTTTAGTTTAAGCTACTGAAATGCACATCACAATTCTTTTTTTAAATGTAACAATTAAGAACATGAGAATTTGACAAGAGAAAATGAGGTAAGATTATTACATTTCTTGTAAATACATAAAGTTCTTCCATTATATGTGTTTAGCAGTTTTTACAAGTGCACACACCAGACTTGATTAATGAATTTGGTACATTACAGCAGTGAGTGGCATGAATGCCCCACAGAGAAAGAAAGATGAGAGATATTGAAAAAGAGAGAAACTTTAAGTCTGTTGGTAATTAAAGCTTTCAAATGAGTGAATTTAGGTAGTGGCCGTCCTGCACCTCCCCTCACGCTTTACTCTCCCTCTGTCTGTTTCTGTAGCGCCCTGTTCCCCAGTCTACTCCCAATATCACTGTCTCTCTTTCTTTCTCTGTAGGTTCACATAAAGACACAAATCCAAAACAAATGAAAAATGAAGATCCTAGTGGAGGAACCATTCTCGAGGAGACATTCTTTCAAGTGATACACAAATAAAAAATCTCAGACTAGTGACCCCAATAACTGACTCCCAAGACAAGCTTGGCCTTATTTGAGATGTTTTTTTCTCTCTCTCTCTCAAATCAAATCTTCTGCAGTCCCCAAGTTCATATCTAGCATACTGTACGAAGGACTTCGGACAGTTGGACTTCAGATGGGCCAGTTCAATTTCCCAAGAGTGCTCATAACTCTAGTTAAGCAGGGAAAAGAACACAGTGTCAGAGACAGCAAGGGAAATGGACAGCTGGAAAGAGGTGGAGGAGGCACTTTTATTACCAATGAGCTCTGAGACATTAAATAAATATGGACAAAGAGATGATCAGGTTGTAAGAATCTTAACAAGGGGAGTGGCTAACATTTTAGCTCCTCCCCTTTTGTACACTGTCCTGCACTGAACATGCAAACATTTGACCCCTGAAACATTGTGATAAGCACTACCTCTCAATGGCACTTAAATATTCAGTCTGCTTTGACTGGTGGCTACTTTGCTATTTTATTCCCCTGTTCTGACAATTTGTGTAGTCATTCGTAGCCTGAAAAAACTGTCTGAAAAGACAAGTCATAACAGGTAATGCTCAGATGGATTACAGTTTCCAGTATGTTACATGGGCAAATGGCTGCGTATATGAAAAATCAAAGCAATATGAGAACACACGTCCCCTAACTTCCATTAAAAAGACTGACCTTCATGATCGTCATCATCATCGTCGTCATCGTCGTCGTCATCGTCGTCGTCATCGTCATCATCGTCGTCGTCATCATCATCGTCGTCATCGTCATCGTCATCATCATCGTCATCATCATCATCATCATCATCATCATCATCATCGTCGTCATCATCATCGTCGTCGTCGTCATCATCATCGTCGTCATCATCATCGTCGTCATCATCATCGTCGTCATCATCATCGTCATCATCATCATCATCGTCGTCATCATCGTCATCGTCATCGTCGTCATCGTCGTCATCATCGTCGTCATCGTCGTCGTCATCATCGTCGTCGTCATCATCGTCGTCGTCATCATCGTCGTCATCATCGTCGTCATCATCATCGTCGTCGTCATCATCATCGTCGTCGTCGTCATCATCGTCGTCGTCATCATCGTCAGCCATCAGACCCTGCTCAGAAGGGAATGGCAGATCCTGTGCCTTGGCAGTAGGTGCCAGCGGGGTGTGGAAAGAGCAGAGCAGCGCCAACAACAGTGCAAGAATCAAACTTCTCAATGATGCCATGGTTACAGTTAAGAAAGAGCAAACTAAGGAGTAATTAACCTAGAATGACTGCAGGAGTCCACCGCTGAAGCTCTTTGCACCTGCTCACACAAGTTAATCAATTCAAACCCACTCTGACGTAGACACTTCAGACAGACTCTTGCAGTACGGAATGGACACCAGTAAAAATGGCATCCAATGGACACAGTCCAATGCAGAGAAGATATTCCAAAGTGAAATCCAAATACTTGTTCCCAAGTTGTGACAAAAATGATCCTTAGAAAAATTGGTGTCCTACCGTTTTAATCTGGGATCACAATAAGACTGTGTCTTTTAGTCCAATTGTAACACTTGTGTGAACAGTTAAGACTGCAGGAAAAAGTGGAGAGGAGTAAGTGGCCAATGCTGAAGGCACATTCAGAACTAATGTGTGAGCGACAGAAAAAGAGTGAGACTGACCTATGGGGTAAGCTGAGAGGTTGGAGGGTGGGGTGGGGGTGGCAGTCAGGGTGACTGACAGGGGCAAATGCTGGAGGTTAGGCCTGCACCATCCATAAGTTAAGTTCATGATGAAGAGGGGAATGACTGTAGGAGGTATATGAAACAAATGGAACGTATTTTCCATCATCAACTGTTCAACTGTAGAACAAATGTTAGAGAGACACATATGAGGAGAAAGTCTGGCCAATCATGACAATACACTGTGGCAGAAAGGAAGATGACACATTATGTTAGACCTGGCAGGATATTGACAATGTTGTTGTACACGGTACTGACTGACCCGGCTAGTTGGGAAGTTAGTGTGTTTGTACGTACACTGTGTACTAATACCACTCTGAGCTTTGGTAATAATTGTAATTGTAGGTACTTGATAAACTTTCTTCTAAAGTATTGGAGGGAAAATGTTTGCCACAGGCTCACCCTCTGATTGAGTTAAAATGAAACAAAAGACAACAGCAAAAAACAAACAAGCTGTGTGGTTAAACTTCACATCAATACACACTTTGCTTTCATTTAGCCCCCATTACGTTGAAGACAAGCTAAAATATTGTTGATTTATACCCTTAAATGCACAGTCTGACATGAAATTTGGATATGCCAAAGTTCATGTAGATCCATAACAATAATATCAGTAACTGAAACAATGATGTTACAAATGGTCACAGCTACTGCCAGAGTGGGGACCAAAATATAACATTGACTAAAAGGACTTTTATTTTTGTTTACATGTTGGTCTCTTTTAGTTTGTGGTCTAAAGCTTTGAGACATTATTTATTCATATTTGATACTTGGATAAATCCAATACTGTCTATGTGTTCTGATATATACACATATATAAATTAAGTATATATTGTCATATATATATTTTGTACATGGTTTCTGAGTGGAAGTAACATGAAAATGGGACCATTGTATTTCACTTCTAGTTCATCCTCAGTAATATTGTGTGAAGTGGTGTCTAGAGCACACTGATATCATTGCCATCCACCTTCCTACTCTCCTAACTGCACTGGACATAGCTACAGAACACTATTGTTGTTCTGTAAAATGGAAGAAATATCATTCTTAGAGCAAACGGCCTCATGATGATTGCCATAATCGTGTGTTTGATCTTGTGTAAATAAATCCATTGGTTTTTAATGACTCTATACCCTTACACTGCCCTCAGGAAATATTTTTAGCTCTGAGAATAGCTGAATCATCACATCAAAACATTTAATTGTGTAGGTGCTGCACACAAAAACTCATACTAATTGTTTTTAATTAATATTGTGTGTTATTGAGCCAGGATCAATGCATGTGGTTTGTTGAAAAATAATGTGTTATACCTCCAGATATACACAACTGACACTAAACTCTTAGCTCATCGATTTGCCTGTCCCTCCCCCTACATGCTGTCCCCAGAATAGATGGATTTCTGCAGGGAGGAGTTGACAGCCGTTCTATTTTAAAACACACACTGTAAGAGTCAGTGTAATGTGAGCCTTCCTGGCTCTGTTAGTGGTACCAAAACAGTTTCCCACATCCTCTGTCAATTCTCACCTCTACATGCATCAAGAAAGAGGTTGGTGACAGGAACCTCTGATATACCTCCTAAACTAAGCTTAAAGACGTGATTATAGTGAATAAATATACTTATTATACTCTTTTTGGCCACTGTTGTGATGCCGGTGACGCAGACAACACAAAAGCTGGTTGCATTTTTGGGAAGGTCTTTATACGTGTGTGTGTAATAAGAAAAGCAGGGCAGAAGACTGAATGAGCAAAGGTCAGTCTCTGCAGTGTGTCAGTGTTTTTAATATCAACATGTAATTTATAGATGGAAGTCATAGCATGCATGATGTTGGCAACAAATGTTGGCAACAAATCCCAGCCCTGCACACTCAATAAAAAGGAGAATTAACCTTAAAGCCTTGTAGAGAATCAAATGTACAGTAATCAGCAAAGTTTGAGAACAAGTTCCCATGAAGTTCTGAATACTGATTAGATCGTGGCAGTGAGAAACAGCTGAGCTGCAAAGAGTTAAGGACAGAATGAGCGAAGAGACCAAACTGAAATGAGGAGTGCAAAGTGGTTGAAAGTGGAGATGAGCTCAGACATACCAGAGACATTTCTTCTATCTTAGTTTGGCCCGTGGTTGTCGCTGCAGTGACCCATTTATACCTCAACTGTTAATTTTCTTATTCCCGTATTGTAATGAAAAAAAACCCTCAACTCAGTTCAGTTTTATTTATATTGCACTGAATCACAACAACAGCTGCCTCGATGCGTTTCAGTTATAAGACTGGAAAACACGCGTTGGACACTTCTTCCACAGAATGAGGCAGAGAGCACATACCGATCCAACAGGTCTTGGTAAAGGAAAAAAAAGGTGTTATTGGAGGTGTTGGGCAGGGAATAGCAGTGAATTAGAGAGGTGACAGTTAATACACTTCTTCTGCTCATTAATCACCTAGATATGACATTCCCCAGCTGGATTGATTTTCCTCTATGAATTTAGTCCAGTGCCAAATTCATCCCAAGCTCTTTCCATGTAAGGACTGTCTAAAGAAGGAAATCGGTTTCCATGATACAGTTACTGAAGGGGAGTGGTGCATGTGTATGTGGGTGTACGAGCGAAAGCTAAAATATTCAACTTAACACTTTAAAGCCTGAACTGTGAAATTAATTGACAGAACATTAAAATGTTTTGGAGAGGGAGTAATTATGGATCCTCACATTCAAATGACGTATCAGTGTCATCATTTATTCATTTATAGATTACATTTTTGCCAGTCATCTTTATAATTCTTGACCAATAGAAGGAAAATAGGAAAAAAGTGATATTTTTGAAGCAACTGGTATATAATGCGTGTATCTGAAGAACAGCATAGGACACTTCCCTGCAACTGTGCAACTGTCAAAAAATGAGCATTGCTTAAAGGAGTGAATAAATCTGGAGAAATGTGATGTTTATAGACTGCTATCCTCAGAGACTGGCTGAGACATTTTCTTCTCAAAGGTAAAAAACGTCTTAGATGCTACGAAAAATCTGTGACGGCCCTAGGAAGCCAGGTTCCTCCCTGACATGACATTTTGTTTAGTTTTGCTGAGTTCATTCTTTGTTTAAGCCATGTGTAGTTTAAAGTTACACATCTACACAGAGAGAAAAGAGAAAGCACAAAGCAGACGATGACGACCCCAGTTTAAACTACATATGTTTCCAGCCCGTTCTCACTCCCGAGGCGTAATATAATGACGATTTGTCACCTAGCTAAAAATGTTACGCTTTAGGAGTGAGAACGTGTTGAGGTTTCTGTTTTGCATTTGTGCACAGAAACATTTCCATTTTCATTCTTGGAGGCACAATGTTGTTTTCTCGCCGGAGAATATGATATGATACTGAAAGCAATATTTGCAGTCACGTGCTACATGTTTTAAAAGTTTCTCCTTAGCTAGCTAAGTGTAGACCTAATGCTAAATCTTTATTTAATGTGCAAGTCTCTTAACATGATGTTGTTCTGTGTTGTTTGGTGTCTTTCTTACATTCACTTCTATTTCAGCAGCTTAAAAAATCCCTTAACACATCATTCACTATGGCTTGTAAAACAGCAGGGCTGCTCGTTAACCCAAAAGGCGCTACCAAGTACTTGAAGTGACCAAGAGGCGTGTCGTATGCAGTTTAATACTCGTCCTCTTCGTGAATGTGGACGAGGTGGTAAGCAATGTGAAGATCAAGTTTGTGAACATGGTGGCGTAGTGGATGGGTTCAAAAGCTGAGTTTATTAGTGTCAAAGGATATATATGTTTTTACAGTGATGTCGTTTAGGCCTAGATAATCAATACATCCTTCTTCCCTAAGAACAAGAATTCAGCCTCAACTGGAGAAGAAGATAGCCAAATGATTCCTGCCACGAGAGACTCCCAAATGTAATCTCCAGTGCGGCCAGCATTCAGGTGAGCAAAAGGCAAACTGCAAACGTTGAGTATGATGAATCCGAAGAGATACTAGGAGCACAAGGAAAACAAGGTGAGGAAAAAGAAACAAAGCATGGAGAGTTAAGGCGGCCTATACTAACAGGGGTTTTGGACGAACTGGTGAAGAATAGTTGACAACCCTGGCCTTAAATACCGCTGGTTGATTACCAGCGGTATTTAAGGTCACCCACTCACCCAGCCCATGACAGGTGGTGGTGGTGAAGATGAAGCCTGAACCTTGAACAGAGCTCTAGCTAAGGTGCCTGAGGTGGAGATGGGGAGGAGGTAGGTTACATGAAGGACGGAGAGCACAGATTTACAGTGGGGCAAAAAAGTATTTAGTCAGCCACCGATTGTGCAAGTTCCCCCACTTAAAATGATGACAGAGGTCAGTAATTTGCACCAGAGGTACACTTCAACTGTGAGAGACAGAATGTGAAAAAAAAATCCATGAATCCACATGGTAGGATTTGTAAAGAATTTATTCGTAAATCAGGGTGGAAAATAAGTATTTGGTCATTAACAAAAATACAACTCAATACTTTGTAACATAACCTTTGTTGGCAATAACAGAGGTCAGTGCATATGAGAGCATGAGGGTGGGAATGGATGTTTGTATATGTGTGTGCCTGTATGTCTGTGTCTATATGTCAGGTTGGGTGTCAGACGCCACCTCTCTGGGGACATCTCAGGCCCTCCAAGGTTTGGAGGTCTATCTCCTCCCACCACCACTCCCCCTGCCAGTGGCGGACTCCCTCAGACATCGGTGCGTTGGTGGTTCTTTGTGTCTGGGGATGGGCGTCCAGTTACACACCGGCTCACTCCTTGGCGGCCGCTTATCGGGGCCTGGAGCCTGGGGCTCGCTCGGGCCACTTCGGAGGTGGGGTGCCCCCGGCCTCTCGGCCTGGGGCTCGGTCACTCAGGCACGGCTGGCTGCCGGCGGAGCTCACGGGCGCGTCACTGCAACCCCCCCTGGCTTCTGCTCCG